TCTGCTTGTTAACAGGTCTAGTGTTACAAACAGGCAGTGCCAACTTAGCATGGGTTCTGGCACATGTTGAGATACAGACTCAGATCTGAGAATCTCAATGCGGGATGAGGCCTGTTGTTTAAAATCTTGCTGCTGGATACTGTGCAAGCCCCAGGATCAAAGAGGACAGACACAGTTAGGTCCTGGTTGAGCTTAGAGGAAATCTCATAGCACCTGGTTGCTGAAAGCCCAGAGTGTCACTTGATGGGAGTCACTGGAGATTGCTCATTGGCACTGCTGCAACTGCTTGAGACGATGCAGCTGCAGAAATTCAAGCAGTTCTCCCTTTGACTTGTTTTATATGACCACATTCTGGGCTCTGGCTTTTCTTCGCCAGCAAAATCAGCTGCTGGAGCCCAGCACGACGGCCAGGCATAGCCCAGCATCTCCACACATGCTGATACAGAGGGTGCCTGAGCGATGATAGATACCCTGATTTAGCCTGGACACAGCTGCTTGGTCTTTTTTGCTGCCACTTTTTTGGGCATCGACATCTTAAACCACCAAATAAAATGTACCAGAGCCTGGTTTAGATGAGGTACAACACCCACACAGCATCTGGAGCACACTGGCGTTACTACAAGTGGATGTGGAGAAGGAGGGGAGAAACAGCAGGTCCAGCCAAAAGAGTGGAAAACTCTCTTTAGAATTGCCTTTAAAATGTGATTATACTTTGAAAAGCAATATATTAACGGCACCAGGAGGCTTTGAATACTGTTGGTCCTAATTCACAGGTGCATAAATTTCAAGAGAGAAATCAAGAGACTACTTTGTTAATCATCTGTTTTGAGAAATAGGACCTGATCATCCCTTTTTAAGTAAAAGCTTGTGCATGTCCTACAGCTACTCTAAAAGTCAACAGAAATGAACAGAGATCAAAGTGTCCCCATTACTGCAAGGCTTCTGGTCACATCTGCTACAGTAACACTTGCAGGCACCAGTTCAGCATAGCCCATGGTGTACATCCAGTAATTATAATTAATCCAGGTGCAGCAAAACCTTTGAACTCAGAATTTTCAACCAAGCAGCTCTTCGTCAGGGAATGCTGATTCATCAGAAATAAAAATGGTTGCTGGAAAGGATCAGTTTTGATGAATTTCCCAATTAGAGAAAAATATATTTGTTCAAGAAAGGAAGCTTTCAAAGGGCTGAAATCTCCCCTTGCAGCAGTTCCTAAATTCAATGTTATTCCTTCAGGTCTTAAAAAAAAAAAAAGAACACAGAAATGTGAGTTAATTTTCAATAAAATGTTGAAAAAGCCTTGAAATAGAGTAAAGATCAAACAATGGTTGAAGTCATCAAAATGAAATATTTTGATTAACTCAATTATTTACGTAATTGCCCTTTGTAGAGTTTTTCAAGACTGCATATTTCTTCTCAGCTTATCTGGGAACTATTTTCCAGGTTCTCAGAAATTCTTGAAGGTTAATAAACAATTAACTGTTGTGGGTAGAGCAGGTGTATCTTTACGACTTTTGTAGCCCAGAACACCACAAGAAGGTCTCAAAGCGTCCAAGCTCAGGGAGGGAGACAGATAGAACCCACAGGGTTCACTGGAACGAACGCAGCCTCCTACCTCCATGCAAGTCACCCCAACTCCAGTGGTCATGAAAAGGATCAGGCATTCCATCACCCTCTGAGCTGTCTACAGGAGGTCACAGATTAATTGGCCCTGGAAAGTGCCCACTTCTCTGCAGTGCCTACACACGCAGCATGAGATGGCTCACTCAGGTATAGTGGTCTGTACTGGGACAGGCTAACATTAGAGGAGATGATTCTCTCTTCCTAAGTGGATGAATTGAGTGGATAGGGGGAATGTCAGCATAACTCAAAAGGCAAATGGTAACCCCTAACGGCTGGGCAGAATCAAGGAAATTAATCCTTAAATTTGGTGTCCAAACACATTCCCATCCTTTTCTATTATGTCAGTAGTTTGCGGGTTTTTTTACTGATGTTCTGCCTGGGCACAGGTAGAGTGCTGTGCTCGCAAGGCTTTGGGCATAATCAATGTATAGCTGGTTGCTCATTAGAGAAAACTGCAGCAACATAGTATAGATAGATTATAGCAGGAAAAGAAATGTGTCCTGCTCAGAGACTGAACTGTCACAGAAATTGTCTTTCTGTGTGACACGCGCCATAGCACAAATATCTCTGCAGCAGGAGCCTCCAGGCCTCCTCAAATCAGCCCACATTATGGAGGTGCTTACTGACCAGGAACCTCATTTTAGGCACTCAGATTCAAATTTGGAGCTTATGTCATATGAGGAACTGCTGCGGGATCTGGGGCTGTTTAGCCTGGAGAAGAGAAGACTGAGGGGAGACCTTGCTGCTTTCTACAACTACTTGAAAGAAGGTTATAGCAGGGCAGGGGTTGATCTGTTCTCCCTTGTGATGAGTGATAGGACAAGGGGAAATGGCCTTAGGTTGCACCAGGGGTGGTTCAGGTTGGATATTAGGAAGAATTTCTTTACTAAAAGAGTTGTGAGGCTGCCCAGGGAGGTGGTTGAGTTGCCATCCCTAGAGGTGTTTATGAGATGGGTCGATGTTGCCTTCAAGGACATAGTTTAGTGCTGTTGGTAGAGCTAGGAAAAGGTTGATCTCTGAGGCTTTCAGACAAGCAAGAGGCATGGGGATGTTTTTGTCTCCTAATCAGTCACATCTTCTGTTTTATTTTTTGTTAACTTTTTCATCTTTTATCCTACATTTATTTTTCTGTTTATTGTCTTTTAACCTGTGCATTGCCTTAACCACCACAAGACTCTGGTTTGACCTTCCCTCAGAACTTCCTCTAGTGCCTTTACTTTCCTTGAACACTCATTTCTTCTTTTTTTTTTCAGTGTGAAGTATTTCCAGCGCACATCAGAAACCAAAAAGCAAGTAGGAAAACAGCAGCTTTCCAACAGTGTATGAATCATCTCTTTGCAACAAGCCAGCAAACCCATATGGAAAGAAACCAACATACAAACCCATCTGACACGTACCATTTGTCCAAAACTTTCTCTCAGGTAGACAGCAGAAAGCATTCCCTCCTCCCACTTAATTAATACTTTAAGACATAGAGAAATATGATGCTTTTCTTCCCTTTGTTACCAGTAACCCTACTCCATTGGCTTTTCAATCTCCTTTGCTACACCTATCTCAGTAGAACCAATTTGTCTTTAAACTCATGTCCGTGTATCAGGTGTTTCTAGATGAAAATGTGCCTGGACAACTCAAGTTTCATTTCCTGGATTCAATCCTCTGTTGGCAGCTTCCTTTTGCCTACGCGAGGGAAGAGCATCAGAAACACTGGTTTAAAAATCAACCCTCGCAGCAGAGCACTGCCCACTGTCCTTGCCAGGAAGGGCCTCTGTACCTTACTAGAACTTCCTATTTGTTTGAACAACATTTAGAAAAGATAAAATAGGAACTGCAAAATCTAGGTAAGGTGTCAGCGGTTAAGCTTCCCGTGAGTGGGTTGTTTGGTTTTTTTCCCTTTCTTTTTGGTGTCTGGTTTGTGCTCAATTCCAGTTTGGGGATCTTCACTGTTTGTGCATTTTCACAGAGACATTAATCCCAGAGTACTCACTGAGGAATGTAATTCACCTCTGCTGACATCAGCCACCTCAAACTTAGCTGTCTGGCCTCTTAGGACTGATCTGCCCTCCTAAATAAAAAAGAGCCAGGACTGAATCTGAGCTCTGAAGCGCTGATTGCATGCCTAAAATGGAAAACTGATTTTGATCTGGACCACTCTAGAGCTGTTCTAGAGGAGGTTGATTGATGCAGTCTAGTCCATGTTAGCTAACCTTAGCTCCAGAGCTTGCTCCCAGGCATTTTTCACCCAGTTGTACAGCTACAACCCTAAGTTACATGCATAGCATCAAATAATTCACTTTCCCCCTTCACGTCCAGGTCTTGGCTCCCTGGTGGCCCCATTGCATGTATGTTGATTTACTGCTCAGTCCTCTTCTGGAATGAATTCCCTCTAGAAGAAGATCTTGTTGGGCTTCTGGGGACTACTCACCTGAAAAAACCTTTTCTGTCAGACAGCAGGTTTGGTTCCCTCATTCTGCATTTTTACAACATGCTCAGCCAAGAGCTAACATGAGGGTGGACCTGATGCTGAGATGTAAATGAGCAGTTCTCCTCCACATAAAGCTGCCGTTGGGGTGTCCTCTTACCAGTGCTATGTCTGGAACTCTTATGTTGGTGCATGGAAGAAGAGGACTTGGACCATGATAATAAGCTCTGTCCTAACAAAGCTGGATTAACTGTTCAAGCACAGAACGTGGATGGGGATATCTATTCCGGACATGTCAAATTCATTTAGGTTTTTGGTATGCCCTGTCTGGACAACTCTGGAAAGAAATATGGGAGGCAAATATTGGCTCATGCAAAAATTACATGTTTTCATGTCATACTGGATTAGCTTTACAAGAAAGTGCCAGTGGCTCTTCATCTCATATATGGAAAATACATGAATGTCAGAACATCACAGAAAAGGGGACACAGAGCAACAGAAGCAATCTGAAATCTTTGGATGGATCAGGTGTTAACCAAAGAGGTAAAGGCCAGTTGTAGAAGATGGAGACCCAGTTGATGTGCTCCATCCTGGACTAGAAGAACAGCCATAAATAGCAAGTCGCTATCACATCCCACTTGCTCCTTGGGTTCTCTACTAGCAAATACTAGCAAAAGAAGATTTCTTACTCAGGATTTTCCCCATTTAGAGTTAATAACTTCACTCCCATTCCTCTCATCCAGCCTCATGCTTGGCTGTGATTTGCTATACGAATGCTGAATGCAGAGCATGTTGCTAGACCTCTGTGTATATTAGAGGATGATGTGATAAAAACTTTGCAGTTGGTATTCTTTCTTACGTCTGTGGTTCATAGCAACAATGAAATGATACAAAGGCTGAGATGACAAAGTGACTTGTCAATGTGAAAACATCAAAAATATACTTTATCCTTTCACAGATGGACGACATCTATGTGAGCAGGACCTCCCCAAGGAGTACTGTCATATCGACTTAGCCACCAGGAGCTTGGGGTTGAGGTGAGAGACAGTATTAAATTTTAACCACTCTTTAAATAACATTTTTTAAATCAATAATGTGGGTCCTGAACCCTCAGCTTTCCAATTGCCTTTAATTTCATTGTGAATGCTGTGAAGATGAAGTTTTACCTGCTTTTTTTAAGCCTATTTATCTGGATTCAAGAGAAGCATGTCTTCACTCTTCCAGGGTAAATATCTGTTGGTGTTACTGGGCTTTTAGTGAGTGGTAAGTGGGATGGGGAAAGTATTGAGGCAAAATAACTCCAAGTTGCATAAAAAAACATTTGGCAAAGGTTGACATTTATTTATTGCTCTTGTAATTGGATATGTGGTTCAATTTAACATATAGATGGTGGAGGAAATGAAATTATTTTAAGTCTTCTTTGCATCCATAAATCCTATGTTTTTAATCATATTAAAACTATTCTTTTCAGTCTAAGTGCAAATCAATTCTGTTCATTCAGTGCTTTTGAATGCCAATAAAGGGCATTCTGAAACTTAATGGGAAAAAATAATTTGCTTCATTTGCCTTAAAACAAGATCTTAAATGAATTACTTCTTGAGGTAGAAAGAGAAACCATTTCAGAAAGTGCTAACAATCTGTTTTCTTTCTAAAGCAGCTTTTATGATTGTTTTTCCAGTCATAAATCATTTTTGAATAACCATTTAGTATTTGTACAATGTTTCAGAAGCAGCTTTATTGTTACCTATCAATAAACTTCAGAAATGCCCTGAAACCAAATGCTTTCTTAAAACATGAGAACATATGTCAGAGATGAAGACAGGCAAAGTGCTTTTATTTTCTACAGGTATGGTTGCTTTAAAAACGTGAAATGTCTTAAGAGGTAGAACTAAAAGGATAAGCTCCTCACGTGGTGATATTAAGCAAGATGAACAACCAACAAAAATCCTGATTAAACACAACCTGCTCCCAGGACTGAAATTCCTACACATATAAGAGTGAATTATGTCTCATGGCCCTTCTGTGACTCCACACCACATGCCAGCAGTAGACCTGTGACAGGACACCATTGAGTTCATGCCTTAGAAAGAGGATTTTTCATCTCCTTTTGTGTTGCATTCATATTTTGTTGTGGATTGCTACAGAGGTGTGAGGGTGGCAGCAGGGGTACAGATTTTAGGTGACTTCAGTGGAGCAATCCTCTGTGCTACTTGAAGGTTCATTTATTTTGTGTTTAAATAAAACACTGAATATCTGACTCTTACTGGACAATACGGCATTTCCCACTGGAAAGCCCCAGTTACGAAAATAGCAAAAAAAATGAGGGTTTAAAGGTGATATATACTTTTTTTTGGGTCATAGTGTTACAAGATTTAACAATCATGTGTAAAACTTCCCTTTTCAAAGTTATAGCATGATTATTGCATCTGGACTTCTAAGAAAAATACTGAACATTGTGAGACTTGTGAAGAAGCTGATAGCACTGCAAAGACATGTAGCTCGCATGTAGGGAACGGGCAAGGCTGGAGGTTGTTGGAGAGCCAGCAAGGTGGGAGAAAAGAGAGCCCACGGGCAGACGTCTGTGCTCCACGCAGACAAACAGCTTGCGTAGTCCGGGAGGACAGGAGAAGATGCTGGCAGCACTCTTCTAGTGACACAGCCTGCTGAGAGCCAGGGTAAAACATTCAGCTGGAGATGTTTTCTGCAGATGTTAGTCAGAAAGAACAGGCAAGCTTTAAACGAGGCCAGGCTACGAGGATGGGGAGACACATCCACAGATGAAAGAGAGTGTAATGCCAAATCAAAGCAGAGGAACTGAGAGGCCCAATGACTACAGTTTCAGCTGTTAATACTTCCCATGTTAAATGTGACTACAGGAGCAAGAGCAGAAATTGGATCAGCTTGTTCGGTGTATTCAGGTCCTGCCAATGAGAGCTATAGAGAAATCGCCGTTTGCTACCAGCTGTCCAGTACTTACCGCCCTCAGGTGAAATATTTATGCAACAAATGGGGTACAAGCCCGTACCAGCTTCCTCCTTACAGTACTCTCAAGCTGTGGGAAGCATAGGACAAAACCAGATGCAGACATGTTTTTCTGTTCCCTGCTGTGAAAAGATTTCCCCGGATACGAGAAGACAAATTCACTTTTAAAGTAGCCCCAAACATATGCTTTGGAGTGCACTTCCCTACAGAAATAGGCAAACTGCCAACCCTGCCCATTCCTGATTGCTTTTTGATGCTCTGTCAAATGATGGTGGAGGCAAAAATAGGGTTGGCATATTGTTGGTTCCGCATGAGAAACAACAGTGATTGCTTGGAGCCTGGCTCAAAATAGAAAAGATGAATCACCTGTTTGCCAGATGTTGTCATGTCTCTGCTTGAAATTAGTCACAACAATGAGTTTTGACAATCATGTTATGCAGCTTGAAAACACTAGTTTTGAGTGCCCTGCCCAGTTTTTTTTCAGAAGAGTCTTTGCAGACAAGCCTGGCAGAGACTTCCACAGTGCCTGGGTTATGCACTGCCACCAACTCCACATCATTAGAAGGCCGAGAACCACCCCAGCCCAGAAAATGAAAAGAGGAGTCTCACATTCCCCTGACTCTTCTCCTTCTACACGCACGATTTTAGTTTTCTACTCAACGCAATTTTGAACTATATGGCTTGCAGGGTACTGAAGATCATGGATGGGTTTACAAGGCAAAGAGGTATTTTTTCTTTCCAGAAAGTGAATTTTTTGTCACTGATGGTGGGGTCAGTCATAGACTAGCTGAGAAGTGTCATCTCATGTACATGTCCAAACCATGGCTTTCAAGTAGAAGGGGTCTATAAGTTACTGGGCAAAGAGGGGGAGGGCAGTGATACAGACCAATTGAAACTACACCTGGCAGAGGGACAAAAATTATTTGATTAGAGAAATGGGACTGGAGTAGGAATGATGACAGTAATAGTCTCTGCACATCTACAAAAAAATCATGTTTGGCTTTTGCCAGGCTGTCAGGGCTCATGTCTCTTCTAAACGTGAGACTGAGAAACTCAGGGGAGAACAGGAGAGCTGTCTCCCTGATCTAGGCTAGTTTGCCACAAGTGCTGCTGCACTCCGAGTTAGCTGTGGCTGGTTGTTGTTGTGCTGGTTCCCAGTTCACAGGAGTGATCTCAGAGTCTACCAGTAGATATTGGCTACCAAAGCCCTGCACCACTTCTTTCATGGATTTCGCAGAAGCATAGGCTGGGAAAGGGATTCAGTGTCTTCACCACTGGATCTTCTTTGAGTTCATGGCAGCCAGGCCAGGGAAGATGAGAAAGGCCAAGGTCATGTTTCCCTACTTTTGCAGGACCTAAAGTAGTTCCAAGTACCTGTGTTTTACCTAAATATCCTTGTTTTTTAGAGATGAAGTTTTGTGGGCTCTCCCACAAACAGACAGACAGGTTGAAGCCCTTCAGGATTTACTGAACACCACCAAGGTAAACAGATCCCTCTCTCTCTGCTCTCTAGGCCAAATTCTTCACTGAAATGCATTAATACTGTACCCTCCCCCCCTCTGAAGAAAGATTTAGTCCACTTTCATGCATTTATTTTGATAGAGCAACTCAGAAAATTCTTGGTTTTCACTGCTCTGCTACCTTCTCATTTACATAAGCAGACTCCCCCTTCATAATTTTATAGAAGTGCATTATATCAGAGATCAGATTTCTGCAGCTGATTTTGCGTATTAAGACACTGCAAAACTGGCAAAGCACCAACACATGGCAAGTAGAAATGTATTTGCTAGGGAACCTCAGCACTTTAGACTAATGCAATCTTGACCTATGTGACCTGCACAGCTTTCAAGATCAAGACTGAATTTTTGTGCTATTTTTCTTAAAGCGGCATTTAGAAGATAAAAATCTCTTAAAATTTTTTTTTAATCACTTCTATCTTTCATTAAATAATATTTAATTAAAACGAGGCATCTCTTCAAAGGATGTGCCCAATCACAACCTCCCAGCTTGAAGCCAACATGCTGCAATAAAGGTATAACCATTCCCTCAACCAACATAATTTAAAGGCTGATTGAAGATGTTTCAGACGATTGAGATTTTAACAGTGCCTGTGCCCAGTTTTTCTTGGCTCCTACTCATTTTATGTCCGCCCCAATTTCCTATCAGTCTTCTGTTGTCCTTACCAGCATCATCTGATCCTCACCTTCGGTTCTCACAAATGTTGATAATGTTCTTTGATCTTTTCCACCTCAACAAGTAAACTCACATATCCATCTCCTTTGCCTTACCAAAATCAATCTTCCCTCCTCCATCTTTTCCTTACCACTGTCATTCTTCACTTTCTCATACGTTGGAGGCCCAAGAAGTCATGTAGAATGACTGACAGTGCAGAGACAGCATGCAGTGGTTTCTACCAAGTCACTTATGTGAATATGCCAACTAAACTTTTTTTTAAGGGTTATAAACAGGCCATTTTTTCCCATGGCTATAAACTGTGCAAGTTATAAGAAGGAAAGGGAAAGGGAATGAGAGAAGCAAAGGCAATAGAAAAGAGAAAGGGAAAGAAAAAGGAAAAAGGAAAAAGGAAAGGAAAAGGAAAAGGAAAAGGAAAAGGAAAAGGAAAAGGAAAAGGAAAAGGAAAAGGAAAAGGAAAAGGAAAAGGAAAAGGAAAAGGAAAAGGAAAAGAACAAATGGCTCCCAACAAATTGTAATGGTTACAATCTTGCAAAAAAGAAGCAGTTCAAAATTGGCATCTTACAAGAAGAATCATCAGGTTAACTATAGGTGCTACTCCTGCAAAAGCTGGAAAGCAAAAACCTAAACCAAAGGAAATCCTTTGCTCTTACCGCCCACACGTTGCACGTAGCATCCTTTAGAAGACCCTGATGTGGGAACACCTGCATTTTTTGTAGCTGCTCCTGTAGCATTATTGACCCTTGCTGACGGTGGGAAAAGAGACCAACAATCATATGCATTACCAAAATTATCCATTCACCTTCATTCAGTACTCCTATTGTCACCTCAGCTGTGTCAGTTCAGAGTTCCTTAGCTTTCCTTACTCTCACTTCAAAGAATGCCTACACCAAAGAGAAACTAAATTTGAATCGGTGTGCAGGCTAGCCAGGGCGACAGGGAAACTGATGCTGGGGAGCTGAGTATCCAGATCGTTTCTTGGATGAGTTTTCCAAACAACACTGAGCCATGGGATGCTGCTGCTGCCCTGTCAATATATGTCTAAGACGGCTACTCTGAGACTACCTCAAGCCATTGGTATAGCACATTGCGGCAATATATCCAGAGGCCAGATGTTTTATCTTTTAGTGTTCCAAAGTCTTGATTAAAAGCTCTGGTGAGTCTTCTGTATTACTTTGCAGACTCTGAGAAATGAGTGAGGTAAACAGCTGAGAACCAATACATGCCTGGAAACATGGTGCCCTACATTGAATATAATATTCCTGGTATAACTGCGCCAGAAAGGAAGGAAAAAGCCCTATTGTCTGGTGACTCCATGCTGTACGTCTTCAAAAATGCATCCAGGAATTATGTTGACCTTTTTCACATTTTAAATTCATGCCTAATTTTCTGCTTACTGTTACCTTTAGATCTTTTGGTATCATTGGGTCTAAAGTTTCAGTCTTTTACTGAATATGCTGGCTTCTGATTTTATTACTGTAAAAGACTTAATTTTACCAAGAAGAATCTCATTTTCTTATTTTCCTCCCATTTCTAATCTCTGTATTGCTGCTTCAGCTTGACATATATTCAAACCCCTTCTGGCATTTATTTCCTCCTTGATCAAAGTCATCAGTGAACACAATAACTACAAAGACTGGCCTGATCTTCATTAATTCTCCAAATACCCTCAGGGAAAATAACTCTCAGCAGACTTGAAAACATGTAACATAATAACCAGCCAAACACATCTATTATACTAGAAATACTACCTCAGAAAAGGTTATGCTCCTGTCTTTGTTCTTGATTTATGAATTTATGTGCAGAAGCCTTTATAAACATTTCTTAAATACACACGTTTCATTCCCAGCAGTAGCAGAAAGTTGTAACACCATATAGGGAACGTTAAACTGCTTGTTACAAGTGGTCTTTCATACTGAAAATACACGGTTTTTGTCAAAATACTTATTAAATGTTACCAAGAATATTTTTTCTTTCCCGAGTATATAAAAAAATGTTTTTGGAAAATTTGCAGGTCATCCTCTGGCAACCTGTTGTGGTTGAAAACATCAAGAAAGACAAAGAAGTTCATTTCTACGTCAAGGCATCCAGCATAAATAGCATAAAAGCTCAGTTAAGGCAACTGACCATCCAACACAAGTATGCATTTTTTATTTGTTGTCATGAATGTTTCTATAAAGTCATTTGTCACTAATTTAACAGGAAATCGTACTCTTTCTTTGATATTCAGAGTCTTGATAGGAGATGTTCAAGGACTTATTGAAATACAGACTATTAATGACACAGCCAGTCCACGCAGATCTTCATCATATTATCAGAATTACCACTCAATGAAAGAAGTAAGGCATTTTTGTTGCAATCCTCTATAGATTCAACAGGTGAAATTTGACTCATGGTTGAGAATGGAGATAGGGAAAGCAATCATCAGCAGATAAATAATTGCCATTGTTTTGCTCAGCCACTGAGAGTTGTATTTACTGTAATGCCTTCATAGAGAAGAAAGAAGCACCAGACAAAGCTCTCATACACTGTATTGCCTCAAACTCCCACTCAAATGCAGTCAACGCAGAAGTAAAATGAAGTCACAAAACAACATAAAAATATTGAAAACATGAAATTAATAATTACTTAACTAAATAGAACCAAAAAGAAATTTCAGGGCTACATTTAGACTGTGTTGTGATGGTATCTTACTGTTTGTTGTAAGAAAAAATCATCAGGCAAGTAGTAAGTGGGCTGAATTGCTAGTTTTTCTTTCCTCTCAGCTAAAGAGGCAAGATTTGGGGATGAAGAACGAATTTAAGTCTAGATCATTTTCAGGGATGAAGGAAAACAACAGGGAGAAGATCTATTTACTAACTTCATCCTTGCAGATATATCATTGGATGGAAGAAGTAGTGAAAGTTCATTCTGACCTCCTCAAGAAAATATATATTGGATCATCATATGAAAAACGACCGCTTTATGTTCTGAAGGTACAGCTATGACTTACTGCAAAAACTTTCCAAGTACTAATGTAAGCAAGTGATGGGGTTAGGCCAGAAGACCTTCTTTAACCTATACTTACATGTATATTTTTGTCCTTTTTAGAAGTTTCTAACTTATTCTAGTAAGATGTATTTATGTTTGCAAAGGCATTTGACCACATTAGGTTCCTTGCTGGGTCACAAAGAAGCTATCACATTTAGGCCATCATCCAAAGGCACGAAAGACTGGCATAGTGGATACCCTTCTCTCTTGATTATGAAGCCAATCTAGTTTGTTGCACTGCATGGCTGGTGATCTGCTCACTCGACCTCAGGTCTTGCTGTAGTTTTGGTGTCCATGTAAGGAAATTGCTGCAAGCAGTCTGAATATAGAATCATAGAACAATTCAGGTTGGAAAAGACCCTTGGGATCGTCGAGTCCAACCATTGACCCTACACTACAAGTTCACCCCTAAACCATAACACCCAACACCACATCTAAACAACACTTAAACACATCCAGGGATGGCGACTCAACCACCTCCCTAGGCAGCCTATTCCACTGTCTGGCCACTCTTTCTGTGAAGAATTTCTTCCTAATGCCCAGCCTAAACTTGCCCTGTTGCAACATGCAACCATTCCCCCTGGTTCTGTCCCTAATTACCTGTGAGAAAAGACCAGCACCAACCTCTCTACAATGTCCTTTCAAGTAACTGTAGAGCATGATGAGATCCCCCCTCAGCCTTCTCTTCGTCACTTTCTGAGTTTAATGTGAATGTAACTGACAGCAGTCCCCTGGCCCAGGATCAGACTAAGCTCTCCCTACAAGACAAATGTTTCTTCTTCTGTTTAGGTTATGCTTTTCCTCTCCATTTTTAGGTGGTACACTTTACAAAGGTGACATTAATATAAACAGAATTTATCTTTTGCCAGCTTTCTAAAAACCAGGAAAAATCCAGAAGTGCCATATGGATTGACTGCGGTATCCACGCCAGGGAGTGGATCTCTCCTGCTTTTTGCCTATGGTTCATAGGCCACGTGAGTAGATAATCACACCTCATTAAAAGATTTCAAAGCAAAGCAAAAAAATCTCGACGCCATTTACCTCCTCTGTCCAATTGCACTCTAAGCTCCATAATTTCCTAACCCACTTACTTTCACAACGCCAATGCATGAGGTCCGCATGTGAGCTGAGTACATAGCAGCGAGAGTGCATGTACGTGTGCGTCAGTAGATGGAGATGTGTATGTGAGAGAGAGACAGAAAGTCACACAGATCAGAAGCAAAAGAGCTCAGACACATTCTCAAGTATGGCAGAAACTTCAAAGTACGCACAGCAAATCCAACAGAGATGTTTACAATTACGAACAGTCAGGAATGGAGAGGGCAGGGCATGCCAGGAAAAGCAAGTACTTGATAATCTACTATGGCCGTGTCTATCCATGTATCCAAGGAATGATCTTGGCCCTGGGTCATACAGCACATGGTGGCTCATGCCCATATTACTCCAGCTGGCACTGCCTGGAATAGATCAGAGGACACCCAGAGAGAGCTCAAGCTGTTTTACAACCCTTGGCTCGTCCCTACATGCCTTCTTAGAGCAACAGGTACCCCACATTTGCCTGCTCCAGGCATGGCATAGCTCCACATCAGCAATCTCAGCTTAGCACTTGCTGCGGTGCGACACCTGCTGCTGTGTCTGCTCCTACTGCATCTCCTGCCTCTGCATTATCTATTTGTGCTCCTGCTTTTTTCTGGATCTGTCTCATTCAGAGAACGAGGCCACACAAGCCACCTTCTTCCGAAGGCACCACTCCTGCTAGATACACTCTCATTTCAGACTTCCAGTACATGACCAACAACTGCCAGCCACACACACAGTACCAGTTCATGGAAATGAATAAATAACTGAGGAGATGAGGCTGTAGCACAGGATTAGCCTGACCAGCCTTGATGTGCAGCCACAGACCAACAGTCACATCTAGTCTTTAACATCTTTAATATATACACTGTTCAGCATCATGAACAAAGGTACAGAAAAAGATACAACAGCTTTCATCTGGATCGTAACATATGTTGCCTTGGTCTCTTTGTATTTAAGGTATCTCTGCTCAACTCATTATGCTGAGCTGCTGCCTAATTCCTAGTATGGACCAGGAAAAGGCTCCTGAGGCCTTTCTGTTCCAGACAAGGTTGCCCATTTATTGTTACTATTTCATAAAAGCAAAGTTGACAGTAAAAATGAGCTAGATGAGATTGAGACTTCACAGTCACTGTAGACAAAGAAACAACATAGATGGGTTCTTGAAACATGAATTACGGTTTGGCCATGATTGAACTTAATAATAGTAATAGTAATAGTAATATAGCAATAATATTTTTTTTTTAATCTTTGGTCACAACCATAAAACCTCAATGTCTGTAACATTTTAAAGGAGACTGCAGAAGTTAGGGATAGATACAGCTGACTGTACCTTGTTACCCACTGATAATCCTAGCCTTCAAGGTTCCCTTGGAGAGAAATACATTTGTCCTTTTCATGCTGCTCCAAATAATTACCAGCTGTGCTGTCACTTTGCCAGTGACATGTCCTCGCAGCATTTTTCAAAAGTAACAAGCTGAACAGTTAGGCTCTCCATCCCCTTGATCCAATTTACGTGGTTTAAATTCAGATTTTACTTCTAAATCACTTCAAGAAGTAACATTTTTAAATCTGACATTAATACACATCTGCACACAAACATTACAATCACTAGCTCTCTCCAGCAAATCCTAAGTATTCTTGATAATGGTCCCACTTTTTATCATCTAATTTTGTCATTAAGATTTTAGAAAGATTGACATTTCTCATTTAGTCAGAGAAAACCTATTGCCTCAGGCAAAGTAGGAAAGATCTAAAATGAAAGAAGGCAGTTTAAGTAAGGCATAAAGAAAAAAAAGAGATATGATCAAGGACTTAGTCTATTCTAATAGTAACAAAACCACTTATCTAGGTTGAAATTTATCCCTGTGTGGTGGACCAACAACCAGGTTAGCTATCACTAAAGCCTTCAAAGTAGGCTGTGAGGCAAAATTAGCCATGTTGATCTTACTGGCTGTTGGTGTACAAGTACATTGAACTCACAATGCAGCCAGAAGAAATAATATTATGTACAGCAGCCACCTGAAATGTTACTTGTTTAGTTTATTTTAAGTTACTCCTGGAGTATTTTGGGTGGGAGGGAGGGTTCCTATCATTTATACAAGCAACACAACTTCAATCTTCAGTTTGATTCCCACTCTCTGGCACGTCTAATCAAAGACCTATTTAGCTAATTTCTGTGACGTGATGCACCTCTGTCAGGAGGTAGACCAATCTGATAACTGCACAGTTATTTTATATACATCATCAGGTGCCTTTCTAGGAAGGCAAGAAAATCACTGTTACAAATGCTTTCAGTGAATTTTCCCTGCGCTTTACAGGCAATCCATGTGCGTGACAGAGATCAGACCATGACAACACTTCTGGAGCACTTTGATTTCTACGTCATGCCTGTGATTAATGTGGATGGCTACGAGTACACCTGGAGTCACCCCTCTGTACGTAGGGCTTTTTTTGACAGGCTATGTGATGTGCTGACGTGCTATTTATGAAAACCATCAGCGTACTCACTTAGGGCATTGTTTCCATTCTGGAATGCACACCCCATACTCTTAATATGTACTTGGAATTTCTGCATCTCTGCCCTATTTAAACCACAGCTGGCATTGCAGATGATCGGTGTTTGATCCAAAAGCACCTTTGTGTCTTCCAAGCTGCTAGAAATGTATTTGGAAATGGCAGAATCTCAGCCCAGAATTTTAATACTTCCAGATGTCAGGGAATGCCTGTGTCAGCCTTCAGTAGCAAGACTACAAATACTGGCACAAGCCAGCACAAGACAATCTCCTGTGAAGACAGACTGAGAGAGTTGGGGCTGTTCAGCCTGCAGAAAAGAAGGCTCCGAGGAGACCTTATTGTGGCCTTCCAGTATCTCAAGGGGGCTACAAGAAAGCTGGTGAGGGGCTTTTTAGGATGTTGGGTAGTGATAGGACTAGATGGAATGGATAAAGCTAGCGATGGTTCGGTTCAGATTGGACGTTAGGAAGAAGTTCTTCCCCAAGAGGGTGGAGAGACACTGGCACAGGTTGCCCAGAGAGAGGGTGGAAGCCCCATCCCTGGAAGTTTTTAAGGCCAGGCTGGATGGGGCTCTGAGCAGCCTGATCTAGTGGAGGATGTCCCTGCCCATGGCAGGGGGGATGATCTTTAAGGTCCCTTCCAACCCCGACAATTCTGTGATTCTGTAATAGCATGCTGTTTCACAGAGAGAACAACCAATAACTCATTCCTTCCTCCTGCAAGGTAGCTCCGTTCTCCAAGTACTTTTTGTTTCAAATAAATGAAGGTACAATAGATACCTTTTGTCCAGGATGTTTTTTTCATTGGCTGGAAATTCCAAGCTCTTGAGATGGTTATTTTGATTTTTAGATCCTCCACTCAAGTTCAAAAAATAAAAAGAAAAATAATTCCTCCACTCTTTTACTCATTCAATCTTCAAGCCAGCTTGGCTCACATTTGGATAAATACACACACACACCAGGCACACATCAACTTTCCAACTGTCCACATGCTGTCAGTAATGCCTACAGAATGGTTGGGCTTGGACTTTCAAAGTCACATACCTGGCCAAACTCCTTCCACAGTCCATTGAAATTACCACATGTGACCACTTCTTATCCTATGCAACATTTACTGTTATCATGCAGCCTCACTGGCAATCGGACTATGGTTTTATAATCTCTGTCAGTCTTTTGCCTCTTCATTGGCACATGATCCGTAGCGGCACAAGTGGGAGGTTACATTTGACTAACCAGTGAGATGGTGCATCCCTTTTCTCAGCTTTTTTTTTCCCTGAATATGGCTTGTGTGTCTTTCTCCATAGAATCGGCTGTGGAGAAAGAGCCGCTCATCGCATGGTAACAGCAAGTGCATCGGTACTGACATGAACAGGAATTTTGATGCGCACTGGTGTGGTACGACATCGTTTCCTTCCTATTGTACCCCTGCCTCAGTTTTAGCCTTTAATATTCTTTATTTCAAAAAAGTTTCATTTACCATTTCACAAAATTGGTAAAAAGACAAATGCAGCTGAATATCTGTTATGAACAGGTGAATGCTTCCTCAACTTGAGACACTTTTAGCTGAGGCTCAAGATTTTTTCCTCCCCAGATGCTACACCAGGGACTAACATCTTCCCAGTGTGAAGACCAGAGAAAAGGGAACCATTTGATGTTTCAGACCCACACATTTAAACAGAAATGCACTGCTATGTCCATCTGCTCTTCAGTTGCTCAGATATCAGCTTTATGAACTTTATGAACAAAGCCCTCATGGATTTTATGAAGAGCAAAATACACTAAATGCACTAATACCTTATGCTTTTCTTTTATACAAACAAAAAGCAAAATTACTCCACTAAATGCAATGGGCTAACTTGGAATCTGCTCTGTGGAACTAAATTTGACTGGAACATGGACTTATTTTTTTTCCACGTCTTCCATATAATTTCCTTAGCTGGCTGTTCTCAGTATGATCACGAATTTAGGATATCAGACACAACATTTACGTAAGATTGTCAGCCAACAGATTCTTCATTGCTTTTTTCCCTTGGACAGTCGTCCTGTGCAAAACAGAACGGTGTAAAATTTAACATTCTCATTTTGCCACTTCTTGCATGATTTTGCACAGAGGCCAGGAATTGTATTTTCACGTGAATTAATTTTCATGGATTGTTGGTGAAATCGTCCAAGATCCAGAAGCACTAAGGCTTATAAATATACACCAGAACACAAATGTACCACAGTCCTCTCTGGCCTGGTACCCTTGTTTCTGAATTTTCCAGTCTTGCAACTGCCAGACTATCTCTGTCACCACTTCTCCTGTACAAGCCTGCTCTCTTTACTGCACTATTTCTGCTGTGTCATATGAGGGTGTGAGTCATCTGAGGATTTATTTTCAGCCATTGATATTATAAAAGAGCCTGCAGTATCTGTGGAACAGTTGAACACATGAAAATACAGGTTTATTCTATGATTGACAGTCAGGTACAACCATATCACCTCATCTTTCTGTCTGTCACAACTACATTTCGCTCAAATATGGAGCCTTGCAATTTTAGTTAACTAAAACGTACCTATACATCAAAATTTTTAACTGTTTTGGGGGTCTAGATACACTGCCTACTGCTTTGTGGTGTGCTACAGATGCTCCCTAGAGATCACCAGCACCAAATGTTTCCTTCTTTCCTGTATTATATAATAATACCTGGAGTTGCTTCTACAGGGCTGCTACTCTGCAGATGTAATTTGAGTTATCAGTTTCTGGATGATGGACATCTGTTAAAGTGTCCTAATACTCAGCGATGAAGAAAGTCTTCTGGTTGTTAAAGTACTCAGTGAGCTTTATTTTTGCATAAGATTTAAGGATAAAATGTCCATTTAAACTACAGGTGGTAGCAAAGGGGAAAATTTACAGAATATATTAAAACATGAAGAGCTGACATTTAACACGAAATATTCTGGCTGCTTCCAGAAAGTTATATGGTCTTATTCTGAAGATGGCAGAAGTGGTGAATCCTAGTTCACTTCTTCGTAACTTGTTCCAGTGCCTAGTTCTCCTCATTCTTAAAAACCTTCATTTTGTGTTTCTTCAACTTCCAGTTGTCAGTTTACTTCCGCCCCCCCGAGACTGAATAATAACTTAGAACTGCCTGTACCTCCAGATTTTAAAGGGTCTCACAATCTTGTTATTGATGAATGTAAATGGAGCATATTCATTCTCTCTTCTAAGACTTCTTCTCCAGTCTTTGAATCATTTTTTCCCTTCACTTCCTCCTATATTTTTTTTAGAGTATAGTAGATGAGAAATCCTGGTAGGCCTGCACTGATTTCTACAAGCATGAGAGCTCTTTCTATAGCAGGCAGAGTCCATGATTCTTGTGTATAAGCATCATCCTCTGCTCTTTCATGAGACGAACAGAAATGTAGAATGGAAGAAGTTAAGGAGTTAACACCGTGCGCTTTTCTGTTACAGGGGAAGGAGCATCTCCCTATGAATGTCATGAGATATACTGTGGACCCTACCCAGAGTCTGAGCCTGAAGTGAAAGCAGTGGCTCGCTTTATCAGAGATCATAAAGACATCATTAAAGCCTACATAACCATGCACTCTTATTCCCAGATGGTATTGTTCCCATATTCTTACACTACGAACAAAAGCAAAGACCATGATGAGCTGGTAAGTCTTCCCATCTCCTGAAATTTCACGCTTATATCAGAACTTCTTGCCCTGCTTGGTTAGGCTTGTAATGAGGGGGTCACAGTGCTCTGAGGATCCAGAATTAGGAATCAGGAATTCTCTTGAGGTTCTTAAGAAGTTCGGGCTAGTCTAGCAGTGTGTTTTCTTATCAAGAATATGGAAAACCAAAAATATTTATTCCAGATTGGTAGCACATTAACAATCCCTGATATGTTGAAGCTGCTGCTAAAAGAGCTGAGTCTCTTTTTTTTTGTCACCTGGAAAACATATTTGTGCAAACTCCTGATTGTATTGTAAGGTTCACACAAACTCTGAAATTACTTGGGTGTGTAACTATGAAAAATACCCTCCACAGACTTAAGCAATGAGGTATTCTGGCGGATGCTTGCTACTTTTATTAAGAGTTTTGCTAGTGATACTTCTTAAAATGCAACTAATGGTAGGACAGAAAATACACCCTGCTTCTGTAGAATTTTACATTCCTGAGCTACCAAATTGCACAGTAAAAATTCTTCCAGAAGACAGAGTTCAAAACAGAAAAAGTAGTCACTGCTTTTTTACACTAAACATAAAAGTCTGTGTGTCTCTGGATCCGGAAAGGATATCCCAGCTAAAACGGGATTTGCTAACACGGAGTAATCAAACCATAAGCGAAGGTGGACAGCTCAGTCATATTCCTCTTAGGTAAAGAAATCAGATTCCCTAGAGCAAAGAATTCCCTTTCCTGTACTTCATAGACCACTTCTGGTGTTTCCTAAGCTCCAAGCCAAGACAGTGAATTCTTTTACCTGCAGCAAGGGCTCCTTCCTACCAACAAGAAAGGAGCAGAAATCATGTAAAGGCGACTAGAAAGCAGGTCTGTAGGCTTTGGGATTTGCCATACAGGAAGACAGCCCAGGTCTGAGGTGGACACGTCACTTCATACGCTATATGACACAAGGACAGACAGTAAGAGAGTTTACAGATACAGGACTGACAGCTGCACACACAGCTGTCATTTTTACTGCTTTTCAACATCACGCATCTCGCATGTCACCACATTTTATTTTTAAAAATTGTATTTTAAAAAAAATATTTTATTTAAATTACCCAAATGTTGTATAGATAAGAGGAATGTAAAAAGCAGACAACGCACAGGAAGCATTAGACACCACCTCAGACAGTGCAATATAGCATTTTGATTGGTAATTACTGCCAGTGTGTTCAGAAGACATTAAAACAATCCAGTAACATAAATAAAGAATAAACTAACTCCAAATAACACATATTTTGATGCTGTCTTGGTTACTGTTTTGATTTCCTGAAACCAACCGTTTTACATACGAAAATTAAAAAAAAAAGCAGTTGTGAGTGAACAGTAATAATGCATTTGACTCCTTCCCTGTAAAGCAGAGATGCATTAATTCTGGGCATTTAGGTCTTCTTCATAGCTTAAGAGTAGAATTCCCTCAATGAAAATATTTTTCTACTGTTTTTGTCAATACTATGCAAATCAACAGTGACTGAAATACTGTAGCAGAAAAGGAAAAATACAAGATTAGTGGGTAAAAATGGTTTGAAACCAGTTTGCTTCCTGAACTGGTGGTAAGGTCCCATCTATACTTTTTATCTAGCTACAGCAGAAATGTAAGCTGCACCATGGGCATATGTTAAAAATTTTAACCATGTTTGTGTTTTAGAGACTTTTATAAGAGGATTTAATTAATGTGAGATCCAGAGCACAGTGTAAGTCCTAACTTCATACATACAAAGTATACAAGGCTATAAAGTTTGTAACATTTTGTTTGATTTCAGGAAAGTCTGGCAAAGAAAGCAGTTAAAGCTATAAAAAAGACAACAATGAAGACTTACAGACTTGGTGCTGGTGCACGAACAATTTGTAAGTATGACTTTACTACAACAATACGGACAACTGCATATCCTTGCTAGCATCAGAAGACAGCTTTTGAACAGAAAATTAAAGCCCTGGCTTCAGGTAACTTATGTATTTTCCCTTCCTCACATAGATTTAGCTCCTGGAGGTTCAGACGACTGGGCTTACGATCTTGGCATAAAATATTCTTTTACCATTGAGCTCCGGGACACAGGAACTTACGGATTTTTGCTTCCTCCTCATGAAATTAAACCAACTTGCTTAGAAGCGCTTTCTGCTGTCAAAGAGATAACTCAACATGTTCTTCAAAATTTGTGATGTTGAATATAGTTTATTCCAGCATGACTGTACTTAGTTAACTCAAATAATAATTAAAAAGCTTGCTTATTGAATTTTTTTTTATATAGGCAAAAAAACACAACTGCAGTCCCTATACTTAATTTTATAATACATCAGTTTTTTTCATCCATACTTATATACCTGTAACAGTTTAGTGCACTACATATATATATACAGTTCACACTATAATGGGAAAATAGCATAATCTTATGTCCCCCTAGACGACGGGAGTTTGGAATGGGCCTCTGACTGACACGTGGCATGCTGGGCACACATCATCCATCGAAGAGGTTGCTCTGTTTTGGTCATTTGAGATATTATAGGATTTCCTTACAAGAAAACAACCCCGTTCATCATTTTCACTGTCATACAGAAAGGAAGCTTACATGATAACTTCTTGTCGCACGTTTAGGTAAAGGCAAGGCGGACCCATCACCAGGTGGGAGCTGCCGGGGCTCTACCACTACAATTAGCTGGCTGTATTTATTTATCCCACAGCCAAGAGTTTGGGAAGCACAATGTGGGCCCGAAGACTTTCTGCCAAGGCCTCCAGCAACAGGACAAGGCGCAGCCATTTTAAACTGGAGGAGGGTGGGTTTAGACGGGACATAAGACGTTTTTAACAATCAGGGTGACAAAACACCGGACAGGTTTCCCAGAGAAGTTGTGGATTCCCCATCCCTGGGAACATTCAAGAACACGCTGCCCAGAGAGGTTGTGGAGTCTCCTTCTCTGGAGACTTTCAAAACCTGCCTGGACACATTCCTGTGTTACCTACTTAGGTGATCCTTCTCTGGCAGGGGGGCTGGACTAGAGGATCTTTTGAGGCCCCTTCCAAGCCCCGACATTCTGTGATGCTGTGACAGGCTGGACTGCGCTTTGAGCAACCTGACCTGCTGAAGATGTCCCAGCTCACTGCAAGGGGGGTTGGACTAGGTGGCCCTTAAAGGTCCCTTCCGACCCAAGCCATTCTGCGATTCTTTTC